GCAAGCCCCTTCGCCACGACAAGGCAGTGATCCATGAAGGGGTGGATAAGGCTTAGTAACCTCTATTTAGCTATAATGTTTATTAGGCCCTGTATTCTTAAATAAATAAATAAATTATTTAATTTAAAGAATTAATGTAAATAAATAAATAAATGGGAGACACAGTTTGGTCTAATGGTTAAGGCACCAGGCTAGAAAGCAGGAGATGGCAACTTCTAGTCCTGCATTAGGCATGAAAGCCAGCTGAGTGACTTTGGGACAGTCACTCTCTCTCAGCCCATGGTGCCAGGCTCCAATGACAAGCCAGTCGGTCAATTCTTGTCGCAACCAATGGATCAACATTCGTTTGATATGAAAAAAGCAGACCCTGCAGCTGTGGGAAAAATGCTAGGAAGAAAAAAAAAATGTAAATAAATAAATTCTTATTCCCAGGTGAAGCCGAGTGTGATCCATAATAGCTTATGTGATAATTCCTTAAAATGTTACAAGATTTTTTATTCCTCCCCTTCCTCTTTCTTGTTTCTCTGCCTTATAATTATCTAAAGTGTTCTTGACTTACCTGCTAATTGTCCACAGCTTTTCTTCACACTTAGAAATAAAAGTTTATGTAAAAGTTTGCTCTAGCTTTCTGTCTTTCTTTAATCTCTCTTCTGTTCTGCCCTAGACATTAATCAACTATGTTTCCTTATATTTCTGCTTCTCCACCAACTGTTTCTCCCCCACCATATGGTAAGATATTCCTCGCTCCCTCCTTCACTCTAATCTAGATAGCAAAAAGGTAAAGGCTCTCTTGATTGGAGCTTAACTCCTGGTAATTATATGGGTAATCCAGGTAATTTTCTTGGCAAAATATAGAAATAATTTGCCATTGCCTTTTTGGCTATTTTTGCTTTTGTTTTCAACCTCTGTAATCTACAGTCGCAGAATTTCCTGGTGCTAAACAAATCTGACCCTGTATAGTTTTTGGGAGTGTGTGTGGAGGGGGAAATCAGACAAGATCACTTAAGGATTGCCATCTATTGTGTCCCTAAATAACATGGAATCCTTTAAAGGTATTAAACTTTTAAGTGGATGGATTCAATTATCACCTACTTGGAGGAAGAACTAGAATACTATATAGTAATGAGAGTTGGATATTGGAAGCTAACTGGTGGTAGTGATTATGTAAAAAATATACTGTAAGTGTTATAGCTTGGTGTTCATAGGCTTCAGACTCCATATTTTTTCCTTATAATAGACGGCTAAGAAGCCAAGAATTTCAGGATATCTGTGAATTTCACAAACCTCTGCTCATTCTGTGCAAAATTGTGTAGACGGTGGCTTCTATCCACTGTAACTGTTCTATGAATGGAAGGGCAGAGGAGCAGCAGAAAGGTGAAAGGAGATTATTTTCACCAGGTTCCTCTGGAGACTTCTGCCTCATCTTCCCTATTGTCTAGACCAACTATCTAGAGGCAGATGCGGAAGTACAAATTGGGCAGATGCGGAAGTACAAATTGGGATTTCTTCTTTGAACAGGAATGCTTGAAAGTAAAACTCATTTCAGATGATCTCAGGATCCAGTGCTCCAGTTTAAATAAATTACAAAATTTAAGTAATTGATTAAGTAATTAATTAATTAAATAATTGATGCAGAGCATGCAGAGCAAAATGTTATAACCTGAGTTCCATATGCAGATATTATAATTCAGTTGCAAACAGAGGACATGTTTAACATACTTTTTCCCTTTTTCTTTTGAGAGTGATTCAGATGTTTTAGTATTTGTTTTACTCTGTTAGTTATTTCTCTTTGAAAATGGTTTTCCTAATCTGTTTAAAATCAGTTGAATATAGTGACTGGTGACTGTTGCTATACAGATTTATTTCCAATCCATTCCAGATTTCAAAAAACACGTGTGTGTAAATTGATATTAAACTTTCATGTTCCTCCAGGCTCTTTTGAGCTTTCAAATGAGTTGTGTATATATTTGCCCCTTGCCTGGTTATAATTGCAGATGCTGGACATTAAACATGAAATAAGTCAACAGAAAAGATGATGTAACAATTCTGTTTTTATAGCCTAAAAATACTAAAAATAAACCTTTCCCAGTTGTGGGGCATAAATAGAGGAATCTTTTATAATCTGTGTGACTGTAGGCAATTTTTTATTTTATTTTTTAATTTCATATCCACCTCAAATGTCTCCACTATAAAACACCAATAGGGATTATTAATCAAGACTGTGGATCAAGAGTGTTGCCTCCTTAATAATGTCATCTTTTAATTTAAGTCCTGTTAGGTGTTTGGACATTCACACTCTTTGACTTATGGGGCTGGTCAACAGCATCTCTCTCCAGGTTGAAACCCTAACCATAATTGTCTCCATATCAACTCTGAAGTAAATTAATTCAGTGAAATTAATTCCCTGTTAAATGGATATAGGATTGCAACATTTGGCTGTTAGGTCTATTTTCTACAGAGTGCCTGAATGTGTCATCCTTGGTCTAATCTTTCATTAACAGCTGATACAAGTTAACTACATGTAATGTCTAGGAAACCTACACTAGGGAACTAAATTGCATAAGAATCTTAATTCTGTGAGGGAAGTAGAAATATCTAACACATTTATCAATTACATACTCCAGTATTCTTTGAAATAAGCCATAAAAGCTAATCAGTACTGTAGATTTATTCTGGTCCAGGAGCTCTCTGCACCCAAAATATGCACACATTCTTTGCTCGGTGGGCAGAAACATCACTACATTTTGCCTAAAGGGAAATCTGAAGAAGTTATTGAATTTCTTGAAAAAGGAAGCTGTTGCAATGCATGTTCATTGATGGAATGAAAGATTCTAGATAGTTTGTGCTACCATCTCTGAATATTGCCTTCTGTACTGAGATTACTCACTAAAAAGTATATCGCTAGGCTTCTATATACCTCTTGGTAGGAGTCTTAAAATTAGATTCCCTAAATATAGGAAAACAGACCATGAAATTGGGAACTTGTCTTGTACTTAAGATAGTGGCAGGTAACCCCTTTTTCTATGAAAGGCTATTAGCCCAGAGAAAGAGAGCAATTCCACACTTCCTCCTTGCCCCAGTGTGAGAACTGCCCACTGACTTTTTCCTTCATGCCTATACCTGTATTTCAGCACTCTACTACAGCTGAGACAGCCCTCTGGAAGTGGTTCTTTTTCTAATATTCTGCCTCAAGACACTGCATGCAAGCCATGTAGTGTGCATAGATGTATGTCAGGGAAGTGGCCTGAAATGCTGTGCTCTGTGCTGGTAATCTTGTGACTCCAGTTGGTATTGTTAGTTTCCTGTATGACTGCCCCCTTCAGTCTGGTTCCTGATCTCTTCACCTCCTCCCCAGTCCTCGTTTGGCTTTGCTGGGGATTGAATTCCCGGTGCCTATAACCTCATTTTTCCTCTTTGTTGATTGAGCAGTTGTCTAGTCAATGTGCAAGCATACCCCCCTGACATTCACACTGACGACACTTCTAGGATTGTAGGAATGCTGTGAAAAGTGTGATTGAAAAACTCAGTTCTTTGGATTGCTGTGTTCTTTTCTTTGTCTCTTTCTGTGGTCAACCTGTTGACCTAATAAGCCATTGAGCAAACAGCTAAGAAATATTTAAAAAACAACACAAAGTCTTAATTTGGCTGCCACAAGTGGTGGAATGGTGAACCAGCTGAGCCAGAGAGTGCAAAGCCCACAAATACACTGAGTAACTACTCCCTGGATGAAGGCAGATAATGGAAAATATTCAGGTTGGATGTGTGGTAAGGGTGTGCTGTAGAAGCAGCAAGATTTAGGGAGGCATGATTTCCTGCAAGCTCTGGGATGGGAAGGAAACATGGAAAAGAAGCTGTGGGGATATGGCAGAATCAAACAGGGTTGAAGCCAATGGCAGACAAAGCCAGAACCAATAATTCATGGAGTTTGCAGTATTTCTATGTCTGCTTTTGAGTCTCTTAAACTAAGATGGGCAATTCACAATCAAGGGATATGTGTGCTTCATATTTAATGCTTTTTGTAAAAAAAA